TATGCCACGTTGGCATCGGTAGTTTCGTGCTCTAAAATGCTTAGTTTGTTAGTAAATCGGAAAAACATTAACATGTTAACCAACGTACTTCTTGAGGAACCGTATAAAACGTTGGAAGTCGACGAAATGAGAATTCGATATAAATTCGATAGACTCATATAGTAAGTTTTACTGCCTGACAAGAGATTACTTTCTAGAATAAATTAAATATATAAATTTAAAAAAAGTTTATTGTACAACATTTTTATTTTACTTTTTGATATAAAAATTATAAATATTTAGTATTATATAATGTGTGACATCTAATTATTATACAAGTGCATACAGTACAATGTGTAAGTACAATTATTACAAATTACAGTTTTTAATAATGTATTGTTAATAGAAGCTGTATTAAACAAATTAGTGTAATTATCTCCACAGTCATTTTGCAGTATCAATACATTCCGCTATATTATTTTGGTGGAAACAACTGGCGTGTGTTTCACCGTAACGTCCTTGTTCACGGTGTTCAGAAAAGGAGATCTAACATATAGAGCATGGCTGCCGTATGACTATTGTTCGTCCACCATCGTATTTTGTCTCACGTACGCTCATCAACTTATTAGCCTATCGGTTGGATCACTCGTCAATGTGGCTTATGACAGTCTCATTTGTGGATTAATGGTGCACATTTGCTGCCAGTTTGAGATTTTAGAATGCCGATTGAGCAAAATATCAAATAATTTCAATACTCTTCGCGACTGTGTACGTCATCACGACAGTATATTAAAGTTAGTTTTATCTTATTATTCTGAAAATATCTTATACATTTAACTGAAAAAGAAAAAGTAACAGGGAGCACATATTATAATTTAAAAAAAACTTTTTTTAAATATATTTGCATACACTTTTTTGATTCGAAGTATTTTGATATAACTTCTTTTTGAAATGCACTGTGAAATGGTACTACATTTTTGCACATTGTTATATCTTTTATCTTCGACTTTAAATTTCTCTTAATTAATTTCGAAAAGGCGGTTACGTAATATGCATTTTATAGGTATGCACTCAAATTAAACAGTAAATTCAAAATGACTATCGCCATGCAATTTGTAGTGAGCACGTTGGTGGTATGTTCCAATTTGTATCAAATGACTAAATCAACAGCTTTAAATACGAGTTATCTTCCCTTACTATTGTACATGTTTTGCATGTTGACACAAATTTTCATTTATTGTTGGTACGGAAACGAAGTAAAGTTAAAGGTACGCATAATAAAGTTGTTGCGCATTTTTCAAATTAAAAAATACAAAATATATGTAATTTTGAATTAAAATTTACATATTTATGTAATAATACATTATTTTTGTAAGTAAGTTCTTTAAACCTGAAAAATTAACAACATTGTCTATGGTTTGAAATATAGAGCACTCAACTGCTCAACAACATTTTTGCGATGGATTGGATAACGATGGATAGAAATCTCAAAGAAGGTTTATTATTCATTATGACTCGTGCAGCAGTTCCAATAGAATTTACCAGCGCTTATGTTCTGTCTATGAATCTCGATTCTTTCGTTGGGGTTAGTAAAGAAATTAATTTGCAATTTCATAAATTATATATTTTATGATAATGTATGTATTTTACTGGTGCAATTAACAATAGATTTTTATTTTTAAATATTTTGTTTAGTTTTGGAAAGTAAGGAAATAAACAATTTATAAGAAAATTAGTTGGAAAATTATTGTGACGTATCAGTAAATATTGCGATAACAGTTATATAATGTTTAACAAAGTACTTGTATTAGACAAATGTAATAACAAATTGTAAAATAAAATACAAGTTTTGTTTATATTTGTTACAGTTACTTAAGACGTCATATTCAGCTTACAACATTCTAAAACAAGTATAAGAGTTACGAGTATCAAGTACAAATAAAATTGAGATTACTAAAATGTTTTCCAATATAT